GAAGCCCCAGAACCCTCCGGGTCCCCCGTCAGCTGTGCTCTGACCACTGCCAACATGCCATTCACACCCCCTTGGACTTGCCCTGCCCAGACTGTGGCCCATCTTGGAGCAGCAGGACTGTCTTTTGCTAAACCTCCCAAGTCTATTTGTAAATCACACAGAAACAAGTATCGGTGTTACATAAAAACCATACTGTGGTCCCACTCTCCCCCCGGCAAACTGTTGGCCAAAAGTAGGCTCTTGGGATTACTGACCGGCTCTGCAGGAAGGAGAAGGGACTGGCTACCAGCTTTTCAGCAACCGAAACACAAAAGCACATGTGACAAGGGAACAATCTAGTAGCACAAGAGGGGAAGACATTTAATCAGTCTCTTGCTATCTACTAGGTCCTAAATGTTGTCACTGACACATTCCACTTAGAGCAAAGAATCTACTAGGTGTTTCCCTATGCCAAAGAGAGGGAGGGAACAGAAGTAAGATATCACGTGTGCAGGGAGGGCCCACAGCTAGATCACCTCCCGTGACGTGTGCATTCATTAGGTGCTGCGGAACTGCCAGGGGAGGGCAGGGAGAAGACAGTGCCAAGCAGCTAGGCCTGGAAAGCAGGCCAAGGCTGCAGCAAGAGCAATCTGGACCAGAGGAACAGCAAAAACACAGCCTAATAAGAGTGGGAAGGTACAGGGGCATTTGCCAAAGCATGCAACAGCAGCACATTCTTCATCCCTAAGGCCAGAACCACCAACTGAAACACTAACCCTGACTGGCTGCCACCTGGGCCAAACGGAGCTTTAACCACAGCACATCCTGTGCCCTCAAGCCCATCTGTGGTTGACACAGTGCCTAGCACACAGCAGGTGATAGTGAGGGCTGGTTACAGGGTGAATGCAAGCAAAGGGGCGAGGAGCATCACCTCACATCTCTCTGGGGCGCTAGGTCCCGGGCGCCTGCTCCTGCTCTCTGAAGTGATCAAGTGTTCGCAGGGAAACTGTTGGAACATATGCAACTTACTGTCAAATGGTTCAGAAAAAAACTATGTGCGTGCATACATATCTAAGCATGAGTGAGGACACACAGTGGGGATAAGGTAAATAAAATAAAATGCTAACAACAGTACAGGATATTCATCTAGTACAGGACATTCAAGTGTTCTTTGTACTAATTGTATTTTTGAAATTTTTCTCTAAGTTTAAGGTTATTTCCCCTCAAAATGTTTATTTTTATTGTTTAAAAACAAAAAAAAAGAATTCATTAGCTAGTGAGGATGGAAAGTGTTACACTAATTTCCAACTAAAAAGAATGAAATTGTAAAGCCCAAAGCCCAGTCTACTAGCAGGGCAAGTTCTCTAGTGTTACAGGGTGGGAGACTGTGGAAGAGCGAGCCCCAAACTCAGAAGGCAGCTGGCCAGCCTAGGTGCAGGCTCACCTTCCCAGCTACTTCCACAGGCTTCAGCCACTTCTGCTTACAGAATATCCACACACTTCCTATTCGTTAACCAGTATGCTGCTCCAGACGTAAGGTACTATGGCCACTTCTCAGCTCACCAAGGGCTCACCAGTCCATCATATGCAGCAGGCCCCTTAGGGTCCCTAACGGCCAAAGGGAAAGAACCCTGAACTAGGAGACAGCTCACCTGGGTTTGAATCCCAGGTGGGCTGCTCACAGGCTATGTGACCTCATACAGGTCACTTGCCTCTCCTAGTAGGAAAAGCTTTCTTCTCCCAAGGAACACAGCTCCAGTCCTGCTACCCACTGGGAGGCCTGCCCAAGCACAAGCCTTTTACTGGGCTGGGGACCTCAGTCGAGAACATGGTAAGTCATGGAAGGTAAATGTTTTCCCAGCTACATATTGTGGAGTCAGCCTGTAGGGATGGGTGGCATGATTTTCTTTCATAACTGATGCTAGAAAAACACAGTTTCACAATCAGCAACTGATGCTGCATCCCCTGTACAGATAGAGTGACATGATATCCCAGTGGCAGCCCCTAAATGCCCCCCTACCTTTGTCATCCTTCAATAGAGATCTCTTTCTTAATCTTTCTTTCTCACCACATCCCCAGTAGACATAATAATGCACCTCTTCGTTGGTCATTATGGTTAACCACAAAAGGAATTTTGGGGGAGGGTTGCTTCTCAGACCAGATTATTCAGATGGAAAAAGCTTCAGCATCCTCTTGCAGTGAACCACTGGGTCCATCAGAAGAGAAGTGGCCTGGGGCTCTCCGCCAGGGTGGAAGGGTGGGTAAGGGTGGAAGGGCACACACAGGCCCCTGGGAGGGGTGCGTGATGGGGTCAGGCCAGGCTTCTAGGATTGAATCACATCTCAGTCACTTCCTTAATGAGCTCTCCATGTTCCAATTTCCCCATCTGTAAATGGGGCTAACAAAAGTATCTACCTCACACCACAGCACTTGGCATTTAACACATTCTCAAGCAGTATCAGACATGCATTTTAAAAAAACTTTGGCAAAAGGTCAAGTTCAGCACTCTCGTGTTGCCCATTGTCCCCACTCTGTGAAACGCCTCATGCCCTGGCCTGCATCAGAGAAGAGCCGAAAATGGTTCAGTCCCTGCCCTTAAGGGTTCCACCTGGAAAAAATCGGAGGACACCCTCCATACCCGCCTGCCTACCTCACTCCTTCCTTCCTGGGAAACAGACTGGTGCTCTCCTCACACCCAAGTATGGGTCTAAGTCAGGATTCCAACAGAAGGAATGCAAGCAAAGACCAAAGAAGCACCCCCTCAAAAATGCCAGCCAGCAGACTGCCTGGAAGGACACAGAGCACACACAGCACACAAGGAGGACATCTGACCCAGAGTCAGACATGCCCTCGCTGCCCAAAATCAGGGAGCCAGTAGGAGTCCCCCAGTTTTGCAGAGCAAGATACCACTACGAAGTTCCAATCCAGAGAGCCCTGGAATGAAAGGGTAACTTTGCTCCCTCTGCCAGAGCGGCCTCCCTGCTCCCACTCAGACCTAAGTGTGATGTCTTCTGTGAAGCCCTCCCCTGCTTCACAGGTTCAAATGGTTCACCTCTGCCACCTGCCTGGGGCCCCACACTCAGTAGACTGATTTACACCTTGTTCCTCCTTCCACACCTAAAGGGCACTCCCAGAAGGAGGGGTTTATTCCCTAGTGATGGGCAGGCACTGAACACCGACATGCTTGTTGAATGGCTGCTGCCCAGTTGGCAGGACATGTGGACAGAGAGAAAAGGAGTCAGGGACATTCGTCACCTGTCATTCAGGCAGGAGATGCTAGACCTGGAACCAGAGGCACCCCAAGGAAAATAGGCATGCATGATTCATGGCTTCATCCCTCAGAGTCTAAAGTCATGATGTGCAAAACTGGGACCCAGGAACCAGAAGAGGATGATGTCACACCTTTCTATGGGTGTAGAGGTGTTTTCTAAAGGACTTAATCACAACAACCCACAATCCATTGGCTCTGCTCCCCAAGAGCTCATACAGTATCCTCCTAGACAGGTGGCCCTTTTCCTGGCTTCCATTCCTGCCAAGGCGGCTATCTCAGAACTAGTAACCCTGCTGCCCAAAGAACATCAAAAGCAGTAGCAACCACCTCTACTCAGGGAACCCAGAGAAGTATCACTGGAGAGACTCCAGGTTGAGCGTGGGCCCAGGACCTTGGCCACAAGGTACACACTAGGGAGTAGAGAGGTTCAGTGTGTCTGGGGTAGGAGCCTGGCTAGGGCTCAGTGCAGGGCCGCACACAGCTGTGCTCCCAACCTGCCTTTATCCAAGGCAGCCAGACAGTGCTCACAGAAGATGGCCCTAACCACTTCCACCTTCATGGATCCCTTCCCGTATTAATAAAAGAAAAAAACTGTTAATCATACTTTAGCCCTGGCAGAGTAGCTTAGTTGGTTAGAGTGTCATCCTGATACACCAAGATAGCCGCTTCAATCCCTGGTCAGGGCATACATAAGAATCAACCAATGTATGCAGAAATAAATGGAACAACAAAAATCGTCGTCTTTCTCTCTTAAAATTTCAATTAAAAAAAAAAGCCATACTTTTCAATTGCATTGTTATAAAAATGGATACCTCTGTGTACATTTTTTAACCTAAAAGGGTTTTTTTTTTATTTTTCTGCTTATTTTAAAAGAAATCGCACATTTTCACAGGCCCCTAAGAGCACTGTGGGCCGCCAGCATTGCATCTCCTGTGCCTGCTAGAGAAATCGGCCCTGCATTTGGGGACTTGATTTTCTTGCTGCAGTTCAGAGGAGTACACCAGAAACAAGTAGAGAAAAACTGTCTAGGACTTCCAGCTGCCATGATTCTGATCCCCCACCACAAGCTTTTTTATAGAAACACAGGTTCCAAGGGGAGTTCCAAAGGCATTTAATCATCAAATACAAGGAGCAGTCCCTAAGTACCTGGCACTGTTCAGGCTGCTACTACTGTGACACACCTGCGGGGAACGCGATAGTCTCTGTCGCAGGACAGGCCCGCTCGCGATGCTAGGTAGCCTCCTAGAACCTCCTCGGGGCAGGTCTCTGAGCTGAGTACTTCTCGAGCGTTAACACTTCACTGAGTGACAATAAGCGACACGGCTACCGCTTTCCAGCCGAGGGTTTTTCCCAGGGATAGACGCTGGCACCATCTCGCTGCTGGGAGGAACCAGGTACCTCCTCGAGATGCTCTCACGACCCCCAGCACTCGAGCCTAACCCCAGCCACTGGACTAGCAAACAGGGCGCGTCCAGAGCGCAGCTCCCCGGCGAGAGAACTCCATCGCTCTCGCTTCCATCAACCGCAAAGTATGTAGTGCTCCACAGATGTGGACCCAAAGGCACCATCCCTCGAGAACAAACTTCCATTGTACACGAGACTCTCGAGCCCAGGTAAGCTCATGGCATGGTTCCGGCGGTGCACAGTCCCGGGCGGATGACGCGGCCGCCAGGTGGACGGAGGTCCCAGGTGACCCTTTCCCCGTACGCCCCGCCCCCGGCCGACCGCCCCGCCCCCCTGCGCCGCGCACCTGGTCGCAGCGGCTCGGTGACGGTGAGCACGAGCAGGAAGAGCAGCAGGAAGGCACCGCTGTCTGCCTTGGGCACCATTTATCCTCCGTTCATCGTCCCCGGGGCGGCCGCGTGACCCCGCGGGGAGGCCAGACCGGGCCTGGCTGAGGGTCGGGGGACCGGGCCGGGGACGGGACCTGGGACAGGGCCGAGTGCGAAGAGGCAGCGAGAGAGGGCTCCGGCTGGGCCGCGGGTGCACTGGGCCGTGGACTGGCGCGCACTCCCGGTCGCAGCCTAGGGTTCCGACTCCTGCTTCGCGCAAGATGGCGGCCGTCCTGCTCTGCCTCACGACGCTCCGCCTCCCGCCCTCTACACTGGCACCGGCCAATGAGCGCCGAGGGGGGCGGGGCCTGCGCGTTCCCAGTAAGTGCGGACCAGTGGCCGAGCTGGGGCGGAGCCTGGGTAGTAGGGCCCGAAAGGGGTAAGGCCTGAGATCCAGACGATGAGGGGCGGGCCCGACGGGGCGGGGCTTAAAGAGTGAAGTGTACCATTGGCTAAACAAAGAGGTGGGGCTCGGGGTTGGTACCTGAGGTGTAGGGACTCCCAAAGGCCCAGGATCCTAGAGCGCGGTGCAGGGGCGGTAGGGGAGGGGCAATAGGACGATCGAGAAGACGGACCGAGAAAGGGGCAGGGCCCAGTGGGGCCGAAGGGTGGGGAGCAGAGGGGCCGGGAGTGTCCGGTGAGCGGGGGAAGTGCGTCAAACACGGACGGGATACAAAGGGTCTTCATACCTTGGACACCCGCAGGCTGAGATCTGGTCCGAAGTCCAAGAGTGAGCCCTAAAGTGGTCTTTAGGAAGGTCTGCAAAGAAGGGGTGAGGAAAACTGGAAAGCCCCAGACTATCTTTGAGGAGGCAGGGAAAGAGGATCAATGCTATGAGGTACAGGAAGGTGTGACTTCAGCACACGCAACTGAAAATGTTTCCAACAGATGAGAAAATAGCCTAAAGTAGTGTCGTACAAAGAGAGCTGACCGGGAAGCCCCGTTCTAAAGAAACCCTGTAGTAAGCTGGCTCTGGAGGAAGGGCCTTGCCTACACAAGGCAAGAAGAGGGAAAGGAACACTGGGCGCAGCTGCTGCCACATCAGGCCACATCCGCATAGAGGAAAGCCACTGGGGACAATGCCCTAAGTACTGACCTCACACCTGTTATCGGGAACAAGGTGACCATAGAGGAGACATAGCAGATAGGGTGTTCTCAGCAGAAGAAAGGAGCAAGCTCTCCAAAGGAAGGACCGACCATCAGCCGTGCACACAAGGTGTGGCACAGGGTGTGAGGGCTGGGAAAGAGGGTGAAGGTGGGAGCAGAGAAAGGAGGGAGGACCAAGGCTGGCAAGGACCCCATCCCCACCTGGCCCACTTCCAGCCCCACAGGCTCACTCCCCAGGAGTAGGCCTCTCACGACCCCTCAAGGCATGGTTCTCTCGAGTGTCACTTAATTCTAGGACACTCAGGGTCATCTGAGAGAAAGGCACCCACAACCCCTGGGCAGATATGGCCAAGGTTAAACCCAAGGCTAGGCCAGACCTGCCTGCTTCTGCTCCTCAGTGTGGCTCTGAGCAGGTGCTAGACAAAGGGGCTGTCACAGCAGAGGAGGGCTTCACTGCTGGCAGAAACTGGTCCCTGTCCAGTGCTGACCTCTCCACTTGCACTGTCCTCAGGGAGCATTCCAGGAGCAGCTGATGGCACTCGAAGCAAGATCCAGGTCCAGCTTCTGCCCCAGTCCCAGATCTGCCCTGGGAGCCCAGCCAGGACTATGGTCTGGGCAGACCCCCAAGAAGGGAACACATAGCCAAGAGCAGAAATTCCTGCCAGTTGTCCCCTGCGCAGAGTCACTGTCAGAGAAGCAGGCAGGCAAGGTTTTAGATGAGGAAAGAGAACTACAGAGAGATGAAGAGCCCAGCCAAATTATACAGGAGAGGGCAGAGTTCTGGCTTCCTAAAGGCAGTGACCCCCCCGGGCCTGGAGTCTTTGCCCCTCCTGACCCCCCTCCACCCTGCTGCATGGCCTGCAGGCCACCTGTGTGGACACAGGCAAGGGCTTCTAGGAACGAAGGGGAAAAGCTCAGGGATGTTCCTCCCCAACTCTTTGCCTGTGAAGTCACTGTGGCCTACACTGCCTCTCTCAGGGTCACCCTCTCTACCTTACCCTTCCCAGGTCCCAGTGGTCATCCCTCCCTTCTGAGAGTGTGTGACTACCACTGGGGTTTCCTACACTCTGCTCCCACCTTTGTAAATTATGCCTGATTAAACCCTCAGACAGCCCCAACTGGACTATGGCTTGTTTCCTGCTGGGACAACCACCTGCCTTGGATTTCCTGGGTTGCAGTAATTAGCTCCACTGTCAACAAGCAGTCCCGGCTCTTGGTTTGGAGGCACAGGCAGACCAATGTGTCCTCACAGACCCCTGATACCTTGGGTCCCAGGCAATTGCAAGGCCACTCTCTGTGGGCTTTTGGTCTGCTTTGGCCAGCCCATTGGCCAGCCTTCCAGGGTTCCAAGTCCAAGTGGCTCAAGCAAGAGCCACATTCCCCTAGGGTATTCCTTTATGACTTCACCCACTGAAGTCACTTGGGAGACAATGCTGAACGTTCCACTCCAGAGTCTGGGCCTCTAAGGAGGCAGGGACAGCAGGCAAGGCCAGCCCAGAGGACTCTCTGTCCACAATGTAAATGAGGACACTGCTGGCCCATGTCTTGCAAGGATGTAGAGGGCAGCCTCAGAGGCACTGGGTGCTCCTGGCACCATGGATGATGCTGCCATCCTCAAGCGACGAGGCTACATCATGGGGATAAATTTGGGAGAGGGCTCATATGCAAAAGTCAAATCCGCTTACTCTGAGCGCCTCAAGTTCAACGTGGCGGTCAAGATCATCGACCGCAAGAAAGCCCCCACAGACTTCTTGGAGAAATTCCTTCCCCGGGAAATTGAGATTCTAACCATGCTAAACCACCGCTCCATCATCAAGACCTACGAGATCTTCGAGACATCGGATGGCAAGGTCTATATTGTCATGGAGCTCGGGGTCCAGGGTGACCTCCTTGAATTCATCAAAACCCGGGGAGCCCTGCATGAAGATGATGCTCGCAAGAAGTTCCACCAGCTCTCCTCAGCCATCAAGTACTGCCATGACCTGGACATTGTCCACCGAGACCTCAAATGCGAGAACCTTCTCCTTGACAAGGACTTCAACATCAAGCTGTCTGACTTTGGCTTCTCCAAGCGCTGCCTGCGGGATGATGGTGGCCGAATGGCACTGAGCAGGACCTTCTGCGGGTCGGCAGCGTACGCAGCCCCTGAGGTCCTGCAGGGCATCCCCTACCAGCCCAAGGTCTATGACATCTGGAGCCTGGGCGTGATCCTCTACATCATGGTCTGCGGCTCCATGCCCTACGATGACACTAATATCAAGAAGATGCTGCGCATCCAGAAGGAGCACCGCATTGACTTCCCTCGCTTCAAGAACCTGACAGGTGAGTGCAAGGACCTCATCTACCGCATGCTACAACCAGATGTCAACCGGCGGCTGCGCATTGATGAGATCCTAAGTCATGGCTGGGTGCAGCCCAAGGCCCGGGGCCTGTTCTCTGCAGCCATCAACAAGGAGGGGGAGACCTCCCAGGAAACTGAGCCCTCAAAGGCCCCTGATACTGACTCTGACAAGAAGTGTATCACCAAGCCAGAGCCCCAGGAGGAGGCACAGCCTGAGGTGAAGCCAGAGCCAAAACCCGCCGAGGAGGTGCTGCAAGTGCAGGTGTCAAGCCATTTGGAGACCACAAGCCTCGCCCTCTCAGATGAGCATCCGAGCAAGGAGAGGGTAGAAGGGGACTCTGCAAAGCCTCCAGAGACATGCACCTAGTGAGCTTCTTGCATGGCCCAGGGGCCGGCAGGGAATGAGGCAGAGATCACAGCTTCGAGCCTGGGCTCCAAAAGAGTTAAGGGACAAGCAAGTGAAGGGAAGACAGTCCTGGATAAGCCACTATTTTCGTCAGTTTATTTTCCCTCCCTTTGAAGTTGGTAACCCACATGGTAAAGAAGGAATAAATCACTATATTAGTGCAGACTCTAAGGTGAATGTCTTTGCCCCAGCTGACTGGGGTCGTCCAGGGAGAGGATGCATCCCACCCCACCCATGCCAACTTTGGAAAATATATCCTAGTGTATCCAACCCTGACCTTGACCTCAGGCCCTGGACCAGAGCAGAAAGCTGAGTGAGGAAGATGCTGCTTTGAGAGGGAGGCCGTGAGTGCAATGTTGGGTGGAGAGGGGACAAAGAGAGGACAGGACCAAGGAGGGCAAGGTGGCTGCCTGTCGATGATGGGTGGGAGGGGGACCCAAAAGGCTGCTGGTGGGGCAGGACCCGCAGAGGGCATGTGGACCAGCTTTTCAGACTCTCAAGCTCTCCGCCTTGTTGGGCAGCAGCTCAGTTTTCTGCTCTGTTCCCCAGGAGTTCCCTTCCGTCCAACTGCTCCCGGTTTTCAGCGGTGCCCAGTCACCCCGCCCTGTGGCCATTCCCACAGCCCAGAGGAAACAGGGCGCTGCCGGACAGCCCAGCCACATTCTAGCCTGCATGGCATACACACCCTGTTCCCCTCCAGTTCCAGACTGTCCCCAGGAGTGACGCTCCCTGCCAGAGTGGACGAGTTGATACCAGTGAGTAGGAGACAGGACAGGTGTCCTCACAATGCATGCCTGGCTGCCGCAGCCATCTGTGTCCCACAGATGGAGCAGGCTTGCACTTAGCACCGCCAAGTGCAGTGCTCTGCAGGGCCCTGCCTGCCCTTCCTCGTGCAGTCCTCCCCTCTGCTGTGGGGGCCCTTCCTCTCTGTGCTCTGCACGTGCTCTGACAGTCTCACGTGGACCTGCAGGGTTAACACATCAAGAGGGCCAATGCCTTCAGACTCAGACTCAGCCCCACCCCGTCTCTGTCTTCGGAAGATCCCAGCCCCCAGCCCGCCGGGAGAAGTGAGACCCGACCTGCCCTCTGCCTCGCTCCCCAAAGCCAGTACACTGCTCTGCCTGGCTCCTTCCTCCCCAGAGCCACTTTCACGCAAACTGTTTCCTCCTGTCTCTGTGTGTGTGTGTGTCATGGCTCAGCCACCACCAAGGCCTCCTCCTCGCCCTGGCATTGCCTCCCACTGCGCCCAGTCTGGCTCCCTCTGCTGAGGAAAGAATCCCTGTGCCTGACCTTTGAGGTCTTCCCAGGTCTGGCCTCATCCTGGCTTCCCAGCCTCTTCCCTCAGCCCGACACCCCACGCATACATGTTATAATCACACTTGTGGATGCATCCCTGCAGACCTTGCCTATGTCTCCAGGCTCAGCCAAGGGGTCATGGCTTCCACAAGGCCTTCTGGGGACTCCAACAGCCCTCAGCAGACAGCCGCTGAGCTCCACCATGGCAGGCCAGTGAGTGCCCAGGGTCCTGGCACAGATCAGCCACCCAGTTCTGAGTGCAGATTGAAGGTTCCTGGAGCCCAGAGGCATGCAGCCTGCCTGGTGGTGGAGTGGAACTGCAGAGCGAAGCGGACTTGAGGTGGGGCTGTCCCAAGGAGAGGCTCACGGACCTCCTCCTCTTGGTCATGTCTGTCCTCAGGGCAGTGGGCAGTGTATGGCAAGAGGGCCTGGGAGTCCCACTGCAGCCAGGCCCCAAGGTGAGCCTGGGCGGGAGAGGCCGCAGGAAGCAGCACTTACTGTGTGCCTTCCAGGTGGGGAGACAGCCCGGAGGGGGTAGCCAACTTCCTGAATCACAGCATTGAGTGGCAGCCTGAGTGACTGAAGCCACGGCTCCCCAGGTGGCCTCATACGCCAGCCACTCCTGTGAAATGCTCACCCCGGACTTGGCCCTGGCTTTAACCCCTTCAGTGATCACCTCCCCCCAAAAGCTTTAAGGTCAACACCCTCAACATGGACACTGTGACCCGCAGTGCTCCCTACTGTCCCTGCATGCCCTCTACACACTGTCCATTCAAGGCCATGACATGTACCTGCAGTCCTTGTCTGCCTCCGTGTGGCCAACTCCTAAGCCCTCAGCCCTCCCAGACCTCCCCAGTCTCCCCAAGTCCAGTCCCCAGTTCATCGGTGTGACAATGAACCTCCCTGACCTCTGGACTCTGGGAAGGCCTGGGTCCTTTCTAGTTCATCAGTGTGCCCCGGCTCCTGGAAGTGACCCTCAAATGCCTACAGGGTGAATGGACAAGTAGTCGCCCAATTTATGGAGGAAACCAAAGCTCAAGAGTGGCCTTCTCAGAGTCTGCAGTGACTCTGCCCACGTGACTGCAGTTCAGGAGTCCTGCTGAAGGTCCCCTGGTAACACCCCGGCCTCAGCATGCACGTCATGGGCAAAGCTGCGGCCCCCATATCCCTGCCCGAGGCTGAGACCTGCCTCCTTCACCATGTCCGAGAACCAAGGAGGCCACCCTGTCCAGGCAAGAGCAGGGTATGAGGAAGTAGAATCCACAAAGTGGGTCAGTGGCATCAGCCAAAAAGGAAAATATGCAGGAGCGCCCTACATAGAACATCTGGGGCACAGAAGAAAGTGGGCGTCATTCATACCCAGCTGTGACAATGGAACTGGGTCCTGGCCTGCAAACCCTCACAGCCAGCCCCTCTGAGGCATGCGGGAGTGAAGTACTGGTCATTTAGGCCAGAAAGAGCCCCCAGAAGAAAGAGGGCCTCAGGGAGAAGGCAGCTCTCGGGGAGGCCTGGCTGCCGGAGGGCAGTTGCCCACTGTGGGCCCGCCCTGCTGGGAACAGTCACCCCCGCCAGGCACCTGGACACTGGCTGCCCAGCCTCTGCCATCTTCCCGTCTTCCACATGGGCCTCCGGACACAGGGAGCTCCCCACAGGCTCCTGGAGCATCCACACAACCACACTCAGTAGATGTGTTACCTCTGGCTGCCTGCCGTCCTGCCCCTCGTCAGCCTGGTGGAGCCCTGCCCGCCAGCTCCATCGTCAGCCCCTGACCACCCACAAAGAAGCCGGCCTTCCTCCCTCTCCCCAAAACATGGGGTGCACGGCGCACCTGTCCTGACAGCGTGCTATCTGTGGGCACGGGATGCCTGTGGTGGAAAACAAATGAACCACAGGGCTTCCAAAGTGCCTAAGGAGATATATAGAGGAAGCCATGTCTTCCAAAGCAGAACTCCATCCATGTGCCCTGAAACGGGGTTTGCACATTGTTTCCAGGTGCAAAAGAAGGTCTGAGAGAGGCAAACAAGGGGCTTTCCCAGGGTTCCAACAGCTACAACACGTCACTCTTCATAAAGGCCCAACTGACATAATTTAGGACCCCTCCTCACCAGGTGCTTGCTCTTTACAGTGGACGCTCTGGGTGCTCCTGGACCTCAGCACACCCAGGTCCCCCAGCACCAAGGTTCTGCCCAAGGCCCTGCCACATCACTGACCAGCACGCTAGACCCTGTTGTTGCCCTGTTGCCCAGACCTCCCAGGGCCCCCCTTGTCCAGCCTCCTCTTGCCTGGTCAAAGGCACTGGCCTCCACTCACCCCGAAGCCCATTCTCTATGCTGCCATCTTACAATGTGATTTGAGTCATAGCTCTTCTTCCCATGTGCCCTGCAGTGGCTGCCCATCACTCAGGGAAAAGCCCCCACCTACCTTTTCCCTCGGAAACCTGTTTGTGCAACTCCGCCATCCCCAGAACAAGCCCTCTCCTGTACCAGGCTCTTCCTACCTGGATGCCTCATCGCCTCCTCTACCTGACTGAAGCCCAGCTCACCCTGCAGGCCTGCCCCAGGCCTCGGAATACACCTGCCAGCCTGCGACTTGCAGTGCCCCAGAGCCCTGCCTACCCTTGCACCCCTTGCACGTCCTGCTCGCTGCAGCACCGGTGGCAGCCGCAGCAGCTCTTGCCCACCCAGCTCGCGACCCCAAACAGAAGCTGCTCTTATTCACTAAGCTTGGAACCACCGCCAGCCTGGCCAGACCAGAGCAGTCCCTCCCAGGCACCGCCAGTTCTGAGGACACATGCCCTAGATGGACTTCCTTCATACCCCAAAGAAGCTGCAGGAAACTGGCCCTCATGAGACAGGAGCCAATGCAGAGTCAGTCCCCACAGCCAGGAGAGGAAACCAGCACAGGGCTGGTGCTCCGGCTGGACCTAGGCAGTCCCCGTCTTGGGCCTGGCTCATGACAGGGAAGCCATGATGAGGAGGAAGAAGGAGGGTTACCAAAGTCCTGGGTGCCAGCTTCCTTCCCGTGGGCGGCAAGTGGGCACTCCTACAGGCCAGCCTGGCTTCAGGGTTCTGGGGGCGCTGTTCCTCCCAGTCCAGGCTCCACTCCTGGCTGCCGGGCTTTATGACTTCACAGGCTGAAGTCACGTGGAGATAATGCTGAGCATTCCACGAGTCCAGGCCAGCCCAGCCAGACGGCTCCCCACACTGTAAATGAGGACAATGACTGCTGGCCCACGTGGGGAGGGGATGTAGAGGGCAGTGGCGCCAGCCGCTCCTGGCACCATGGATGATGCCGCGGTCCTAAGGAAGAAGGGTTACATAGCAGGCATCAATCTTGGCAAGGGCTCCTACGCAAAAGTCAAATCAGCCTACTCCGAGCGCCTCAAGTTCAACGTGGCAGTTAAGATCATTGACCGCAAAAAAACACCCACTGACTTTGTGGAGAGATTCCTCCCTCGGGAAATGGACATCCTGGCAACTGTCAACCACCGCTCCATCATCAAGACCTACGAGATCTTTGAGACCTCGGACGGGCGCATCTACATCGTCATGGAGCTTGGTGTCCAGGGTGACCTCCTCGAATTCATCAAGTGCCAGGGGGCCCTGCATGAAGACGTGGCACGCAAAATGTTCCGCCAGCTCTCCTCAGCCGTCAAGTACTGCCACGACCTGGATGTTGTCCACCGAGACCTCAAGTGCGAGAACCTTCTCCTTGACAAGGACTTCAACATCAAGCTGTCTGACTTTGGCTTCTCCAAGCGCTGCCTGCGGGACTGCAGCGGACGCATCACCCTCAGCAAGACCTTCTGCGGGTCGGCGGCATACGCGGCCCCTGAGGTCCTGCAGGGCATCCCCTACCAGCCCAAGGTCTATGACATCTGGAGCCTGGGCGTGATCCTCTACATCATGGTCTGCGGCTCCATGCCCTACGATGATTCCGATATCAAGAAGATGCTGCGCATCCAGAAGGAGCACCGCGTGGACTTCCCGCGCTCCAAGAACTTGACGGGCGAGTGCAAGGACCTCATCTACCGCATCCTGCAACCGGATGTTAACCGGAGGCTACACATTGATGAGATCCTCAGCCACTCGTGGCTGCAGCCCCCCAAGCCCAAAGCCATGTCTTCTGCCTCATTAAAGAGGGAGGGTGAGGGCAAGTACCGGGCCGATTGCAAACTGGACACGCGGCCAGGCTCACGGCCCGAGCACCGGCCTGAGCACAGGCCAGATCACAAGCTGGGGGCCAAAACCCAGCACCGGATGCTGATGGCGCCTGAGAATGAGGATAAAATGGAGGACAGGCTGGCCGAGACCTCCAAGGCAAAAGCTTCTGGAGCCGAGGTGGGGAAGGCAGGTAACTAGGGTGCGGAGGGCTGGGGGACCTGGTGCATGGTGGCACCCACGTAAGCTAAGTAGGCAGGTAGGAGCTGAAGAAGGCACAGGTGCAAGGAACCAGTAAAATCTGTCAATTAAACCACTATTTTGATTACGTTCTATTAGCTTTCTTCCACTTAGTAGCAAAGACATTAATTACTGACCACCAAATAAACCACAAAGTGTAAACAAGCATCAAGAGTGCCCCCTGAGGAGTCTTTTTCTCCAGGACTCAGCCAACCACCCTCCATGTGGCACGGGGGTCTCCAGCATAGGGGTCCAGGGACCGAAGCCCAAGCACAAGTACTCACGTACAGGCCTTGTGGGCAAGATCGCAGCCACGGACCATCCGCCAGGCTCCCACTGGCCTCTGTGACTTGCCCGTGCCCGGCGCCTCCAGGGCTGGCCAGGTGCATGTATCTCTCACCTCGGGTACAGCACAGCCCACTCTGACCCCATCGCACTCCTTCAGACAGCCCTTCCTCAAAGTTGTCCTCTCCCTCCGTCCCCTCCCCTCGCCCTGGAGCATCTACCTCATCCCATCCCCCAGGCAGGCAACCCCAGCCGAGACCTCTGACCTGCACCCTCTCGTCCTGATCACCCCACTTTGAGCCCTATTTTGTCACCCGCCATTCCCCAGGGCACAATCCCAATAGGCCGGCCCAGTGCTGGAAGCCGTCAGCACCCGGCCTTAGGCAGCCTTGCCTGGACAGCGTTGCTCTCTGCGTCTCACTCACGCCCACTGAGACTTCTGCCTCCGCACGTCCTGGGGGCATCCTCGGGCCCGGGGCCACCCTTCCCTATGGGGGAAAAGCATCAAAACCCACTTTCCAGTCTGAGCCCGTGGTCCAAGCTCACCTGCCAAGCCCACCTGCAGCCCCCTTGGTGGGTCCTAGGGCACAGCCAGGGCTCAGCCCCGAGGAGCACGCAGGAACTGTCATGGAGGGCAGGCCAGTGGTGCCCACGCAGGCGGCAGGCCCTGCACCAGCCTCCAGAGGACTCTGCGACTCCTGCAGGGCTGAAGGGGACCGATGCAGGAGTGCCCAGGAAGACGGCCTAGTGCAGGGCTGGGTGTACTCGAGCAGGACTCCAGCCTGAGGGTTTCCAGGTTGCCTCCCTGAGCGGCGAGCCCTCAAAAGCACAGTCTGACCCCAGTTGAGACCAGAAGAGACCCATCTGGCAAGAAGCCATGGCCTTGGGCCCCTGACTTCATGTGAAGCAGCTGATCTTAGACCATGTGAAGGGGGTTGGGCAGCAATGCGCTCAGGCTGCTGAGAAAATGCTGGCTATGGTGCAAACGGCGCTGTCAGGTCGGCATGGAGCCAGGCCCCAAAGCTTGACACTGTGGCCCAGGCTACTATCACCTGGGGCTGCTACTGGTGGGAGTGATAAGGTGAGATGGGTGACTCAGCAGCCTAAGAAGGCTGGCAGTGCCCAGAGCACTTGGGGAGAAGGGCAGGAAGGTGGAGACAGCCCTGCCCCACCTAGGCTGGAAACCAGGTGCTTGGAGGTCATGGCGAGGCCACTGGGTATTTCATGCAGGAGTGCCGCCTGACACCCATGCAGGACCCATGCAGTCCTGCACTGGCAAACCATGCAGGCCAGCAGGCCTGGCTGGGGAGGCTACAGACCTGAGCCCAGAGCCCCAGGTGGACCCTAGAGGCTGAACTCCCATGGGCTCTGTCCCTTCATCAGAGGACCAACACTTGGAGCGGAGGTGGGGGAGTCGGGGACCAGCTTGCTGTGAGCTCAGCTCAGAAGGTTTTAAGCCCAGGAGTGCCGCAGAAAGCAATGCAGGTGGTGGCAGGAAAGGCCACACATACCCTGGCCCTCGGGGGGTCATCCCACAGAGCAGCAGGCTCCCCAGGAGGCCCATAATCCTGAGACCTCAGTGCAGGCAGAAGGACGGCCCCAGGGCCGTGCAGGCCACAGGGTGAAGAGACCGCCTGCAGACTGCGCTAGGAGTTCTTTAATTCTGGTTAAATAGAAATGGGCATGGGTTCCATAGAAAAAAGTACTAGGAAAGCCCTGGGATGCACAAGGGCCATAGGGTGGGTCCTGTGCCAGCCTGGCTGTGACATGGCACCTTTCTTCTGTGGCTCCTGGGACAGTCACTGCTTTTGGCCCGGGCCTGGGTCCCCAGAAGGCTCGAGTCCTCTGCTGGGTGGAGAGCTGCTCTGCGGGCTCCACGAATCTCCCACGAGCCCGGCCCGGGCCTGGCCCTAGAAGAAGTCTGAGGCTTTGCGCCGGGCAGGGAGCTGCAGCAGGTTGTCTGTGATGGAGGCTGGGTCCTGGCTGAGGGGGGTGCGCGTGGCAGAGCCCGGAGCCGGTGTGCTCGTCGGGGTCTGGGGTCCGCCGGCTGGGGTCTTGAGGTGGGTCGAGCGTGCTGGGGACGGTGTGTAGCTGGCCCGCAGGGCCCGGTCTGTGTACTTGCTGGCCGTCCTGCTCACCAGGCGCTGTAGGGCTGGGGACATGGCTGGGCTCAGGCCTTTGGGGGTGAGGCTGGGGTGGAGGGAATGAACAAGAGAAAGAGGGGAAAAAAAAAAAAAAAGAGGTAGGATTAGGCCGGATGGGGCACCACCAGCAGCAAGGGCTGCCGCAGCTCCACAGAAGACGCACCGCAGACCCATGGTCATCCTGGGCCAAGGACACCAGTGGCTGGCATACCGCAGTGCGGCCGAACTTAACGGTGAGTGCTGGTGCTGCCCGGGCTGTGGGGCTGGGGTGGACCCCAGCTTTCCCTACAGGGAATGGTGGCACCCATCTCCACAGGGCTGACAGGAGCTCACAGTGGGACAGCAGGCCTGAAGGAGCCTCTTAGGGGTGGGCCCGAAAGGAGGTTGCAGAAAAGATGGAGGGGGCCTCCGCATCCTGGTCCACACAGGACCTCGCTCTGGCCCAGAGGAGCGGCCACAGGGCCCACTGAAGGGCCCTGGGCCTGCCTGCAGACCAAATGTCCATGCTGTGGGGGATGGCGCCGAGGGGGACAGGAGGAACCCCTGCCAGGGCCAGGCGCCCCTCACCTGGCCAGGTTCTCCGTCACTCTCCGCAAGGCCTCCTGCTTCTTGGCCCGGTTCTTGGCAGCGGCCTCATTGGCCATCTTCAGTCCCAGCCGCTCCCTGCGGCCCGGCTCCAAGATCTACAAAGCAGGTGCGTGGGGGGCCTGTGCCAGCCTGCCGCTGAGCCAGGCAGTCCCCCGCTGCAGCAGGGGCTGCCTCTTCCCATGGCCCTGCAATGCCAACAACCCAGTATCACCTCCCCTCTAAGCCCCGAAAGCCCCCAACCGCGTGGGCCGAGCTGCCCACCCCACCTGTCACTGTGGTTTCTCAAAGCCAGCACTGCGAAGTGAGGAACCTACAGCCTTTTAAAAAAGAAGAGGGTCTTGTTTTAATCTGCTTCCCTCTGGTTATCTGTCTCTATCGACCGTCTGTATTTCCTGTGAGAACTTACCAAAACGTGTCCTTGGCTTATTTTTCTAACAAGGTGCTTACCTTTTTTGTTTAGCTGTTTTTTACTATAGGGGTTTTATCCATGTTGGTTATATTAAACTATGTCATACAAATTTCTTTTCAGTTATTTGTTTTTAGTTTTACACATGACTTTCAGCTGTACTTAGGTTCATCATTTCCACAGAGTGTAAGCTAGACATCACTTTCTTTGCTTTTAGTTTACAGTCTTTTCTATCTTAAAATCAGATTAAATACTGATCACAATTTTCTCATTTTTTTTAATGCTTATTGTTTTATATTTAACTTCTCTGACTTTCTGGAATACATTCTGCCACACAGATTAAGGACCTAGTTTACTTCATTTCCAAATCACTACTTGGCACAACTTTAGTCACGATCTCTAACACACCCAGAATGCAGCCCTGGACTGAAGATTTTTTCAGAACTGTTCTTTTTCTACTGACCGGTAGGTTCTGGGCCCAGTGGCACATCTGACACATCTGTTGCTTTAGTATCAGACAGCAGAGCCTCCTCTCTATCATTCCTCTCTCAAGTTTTTTTCGGTTATTCTCGCAACCGAACAAATTTTAGAACCAAGGTATCAGAAACCTCTGCATACGTTCTGTCTGGACACATTACCTCTCTGAACTGCTCAAGGGAAGATGAACAGCAAGTGCTGCGCTGGGGAGGCCACAGGGCAGAGCCCACATCCTCGCTGGGGTGCGGGGGAGTCAGCAGTGTTCTCCAGATATAAGTCTGTAGTGTCTTTGCAAAAGCTAAGTTCTTCCTGGTTATTCTAAATCTCTGTTGCTGCAGTGAGTGATATCCCTTTTTCTGTTGCATTTCAAACTGACTGCTGCCAGCCTTTAAGGGACTGGTTCAAGATGACTGACCCAGCCTCCTACACAGGCCTTCTGCATCAATCCTGGACTCGAAGCTCAATTCTTTGGGGGTTAGAGCAGATGGTGTAACCCTGCGCCCTTTGTCTCTGTGACAACACCAGCCTCTGCCCCTGCCCCCCCCCCCAGCACTCCACAGTTGGTCCGGGTGGCAAACCACCACTGGAAAACCACACTGCATGCTCCCAACTTTTGGAGGCTTCTCTTCTTTCCCTTCCACAGAACACACCAATCAGTTTCCCTGACAAACTACATGTAGACCAGAGCACCTCATCTTCCCAAGGCTCCTTTGGGACTGGGCCCCACCTGCCTGCCCATGTGCCCACACTGCCCTAGGCCACGCCCATCTCTGCAACAGGCCTCCGTGTGCAAGCGCACAGCCCTCCTGAGGATGCGCACCACGCCTGGAGCCCCTCAGACCTGCAGCACAGCTGGAGCTCTGGGTCTGCCTCCAAGACCTCCCGTTGTCTTTGAGCAGCCTCATCCTAGGGCCTGCAAGCTGCCTAGGCCCCGTCCCTGCCCCTCCTGGACAAAAACAGCCATCCACCCACCCCTGTCCTCACTGTCCTGACTCCATTCAGAAGTGCAGTGGCTGAGCGGGTGTGCGGCCTGGCATGTGGCTCAGCCCGCTGGTCAGCTCTGCTTTGACCGTTGGCAGCGGGGCCATCCTCTGTGCACTGAGCTATGGGTGCTCAGAAGACCATACATCTGCTTGGGGTCCCTGTGCTCCCCTCTCCACAACCCACCTTGAAGGCTGGCCCTGGTGTCCTGTCCACGTAAGGAGTTTCCGATCCTTCGACCCTCAAGGGTGTGTTCTCAACCTCCCCCCAGGTCATCAGCGGGGACTCGTTCACACCTGCAGAGAGAGCCCGCAGCCGGCTCAGGCTGGGGGACCCAGGCAGGGGTGCTGCCCGGGCCCTCCCTCCCTCCACAGTCAACCCCTGCCCTGTGCATCTTCCAGCTAACAAACACCCGGCTGGCAGCTGGCCTCTCTCCTTCCCCAGGACTCTGGAACCCTGACATCACTGCCCTCTGAGAAAGAAACACCAAGGCCACTATGAGCCTAAGGCAAGCCCAGGCCGCTAGGGCTGCGGGGCTTAGCTTGGAGGCGGGTCTCTGGAGAAGTTGGGCTGGGTCAGCAAGAACCCCTTCCTAGCACAGGGCCAGGAGAGCCTCCTAGAGGTCACTGATGGCACCCCAGGCCAAGGAAAGAAATGTTCAGGGGCTTCCGGAACTCCTGTATCTCCAGAACCCCGGGGAAACCTGTGGCGCCTCCACACGCCCTAGCCTATGTCGTGGCAACCGGCTCCCCAAAGTGCAAGAGCCAGTGCATGAGAGGGCACAGGGACAGCGTGTGTACTGCAGGATGGTCCCCAAGGTTCATATACTTTCTGTGTGAGGAGACACAGCAATGGAGCCCAGAGACCCCTCCCTACAATGCCCTCTAAATTCGGGTTTGTAAGCATGGGGCACCTGCTAACGTGAGACCCTGAGCTAAGAAACGTTACCCCAGGACTGAGGGGCTGTCCAGCCCCAGCCCAGGCCAGTGGCAGGAGGTAGGCAGCCTGAAAGGGGCACAAACCCTGCAGCTCCCCAAGGCCTATCTTGCCCACCCCGCACGAGCCAGGCATGGCCTCTCAAGGTTCTAGGGTCACCCAGCCTCCTGCAGATGACAGCTTGCCTTCCACACAGGAAGGTTTCTGCCTGGCAACCCACAAGACAGCGCTGCCCTCTCTGTAAAGCAGCCCTCGGGACTCCCGAGGGCCCTGCGGCAGGCTTACCATGCCAGCCTGTCTAGCAGAGCCTCAATACCCCTGGCTCCGACCACCTGGATGTGTCCCACTCAGCTCCAGGTGAGGGACAGAGATAACCCAGCTAAAAAGGCCAGGACCCCCCCACATCTCTGGCCCGGTCTGCCTGAGAGTCCAACCCTGTCCTTGCAGATGGGACACTGGACCCGAGTCATCCAAGGTGTGGGGCAGACCTACGGGCGCGCCCAGAGTGCCCCTCCCCCAGGCAGTCCCACAGGGGGCCAGCTTGCCAGCAGGCGCGTTTCTCACCAGGGGCAGGAGAAGGGGTGGCAACGAATCCAAATCCGCCGACGCGAGGGGATTCCTGGGGGATCAGCTCCTTGCCATCGGGGCCCACCTTGCCCTGTTTGTGCTGGAACAAGCAGAGAGGCTAGTGTCAGGGGGCCCAAGGCCACTCTCCCCCACTGGCGGATGGGCAGGTGCACAGGGACACAGTGGACACGCTTCCCTTCCTACGGGGCACCACTGTGGCTCTGGGCTGGTAGCCCCCTTGGGAAAAGGGAGGGAGGCCCCTGGCCCCTGGAAAGACCTTGAAGACCTGTGAGAACAGGTGTCCAAAGAAGGAAGCTCCCCTCGGTCCTGCCCCTCCATGGAGGGTGGCACTCAGCCACACCCCACACTGCGCACTTTCAGGCGCTGATGACTTCAGGCCCCTGCAGGGGCCAACACCAACTGCGGGTGCTGTTTGTGCTTCCATCTCTTGCCATTAGGCCCCTGTAAGAGCCTCCAGAGCAGTCTCCCCGCCTCCTATCTCCCACCCCTCAACCCCATGAGCCACCATCACGTGGAACTCCCAGGCTCGGAAGCCTCTGCTGTCTGCCATGCCAAGCTCCCACCCCAGCCTGCCCATATCCTTCTTGTCCCTCCCTACCCCCACCCCCCAGCCCTGCCTAGTACAGAGGTGGAGGTCTGACCAGCCTGGCCTGGCTCCTAGCAGCTGATTTTGTCTCTGCCCTTGCCCCCCAAGGAAGTTGGCACAGATCTGGACCCACAGGGCATGTCTGGCCAAAACAGTGCCCCAATGTGTCGAGAAGACTCGGGGCCCTGCCACAGAGGTCCTGTGCAATTCTTCTGCACTGCTGAGCTCCGCCAAGACCAAGAATGGCCCTAATTAAAGAGGAACAGCCAACACCGAAGAGGTCATTTCCTCCCACAGCCAGCCCACTGTTGGCTCCCGACACCCACCTGGGCATTGAGGGCAGCGGCCTGCTGCAGCTGGGACCTGCTCAGGGCCTGGCTGAAGGGATCCCTGAGGAATCGAGTGTTCTTATGCACCACCTGCCGGGGCTTCTTAAACAGCTGCTCCTCATCAGGGACACCTGGCAGACCAAGGAGAGATGGCAGCAGGTGTCAGCCAGGTAGGCAGGTCCCACCTCCTCCCCATGCTCAGGGCCTGAGAGAGGCCGAGTCACTCCCCACTGAACAGAAGCACAAAGCCTACTTCGGTCTCCACATCACGGAACCTGAACAAATCTGGGGAGAACTTTACTCTCTCACTGACTTCACACACAGGCCCACCTGTCCCAAGACAGGCCAGCACCCCTCCGAGGCCCAGAATGCAAGGGGACACAGACACACGCCCTGAAGGCCAGATCCAAACACACAGCCCTGCCCTCGCTGCCTGCTCACCCTCTGGGTAGTACATGAGGGAGTTCTTGGCCCTGTACTTCCAGGTCTCCACACCAGCCTGGCTGCTCTCAATGGCTTGAAGCTCTGCCGATGGGAGGGCGAGATTATCTTTCTGCCTCTGTGTCACAGAAGGAAAAACGAGGGTCAGAAGCTCCCAGGCACTGTGCCCTGGTTCTGGGACTCCCCCACCCCAACAGAGGGTGCTTCTGCCTCTGCACCCAGGGGCACCTTCTCAAACTCCTCCTCGGCCTGGTAGAGCCAGGCATGGCGTGCTCGGCTCTTCTCCTTGGCCACCTCCATGATCTCCTGGAAAGAGGCGTTGTCCTCGCTTGTGTACCGGCTCAGGAAGACATCCAGGCTAGGCAGGGGTTCCTTCTCCTCCTCCTCTCCGGCCTCTCCTGCTCAGGGGTACAGGTGGGGTGACACAGAACCACAAATGGCATCAGCACAACTTTACAGTCCGGCAGTCCCAGGAACCACAATGCCCTACAGCCCTCACACCTGGTTCTGGGTCTGTGTGTGGGAGCCCAGACTGTCCGACAACTCCCCAACTCCCCACCTGGGGACAGCACTGACCACCCCAACTGCCCAGGGAGCCCTCAGGGGCTTTCCCCACCTGCTGGATGGCAGGTGAGGTGTGCAAGCTGACTCAGACCAGAAGGGGAGCACCCAGGCGTCAAAGAGCAGATGATCACGGTGGGTCTTCCCCACCCAAACTGTGCCAGTCTTGTAGGACCTGCCTCCGAAGCCCAGGCTCTCTCTCCATTCTTGGATTTCCTTACCCCAACAGCTCCGCCTCGCTTCCTGTACCTGTGGTACAGGTGGGTGACTGTCACCTAAGCCCCCTGACTTACTGGTGGGCCTGATGACAAGGACCCCATATATCTAGTATTCTGGATGGGGCCTCACAGGCACTGGGCCACAACCCCGGCCACCAGCGAAACCAGCACTCCCACTGAAGTGGTGCCCTTGCACTGTGCTCAGGGTACAGACATCAGCAAGGCCCTCCGTCAGGAGGGGAGCCTTTTCTTCCACTCCAGTGACAGCGCTGACTGCCTACTACGACCTGCTAGACTGTGCAAAGCAGTGACTGAAAGTTCAAGGGCCGGGGTCAGAAAGATGAGGACCCCATTCGGCCACAACAAGCTGAGACCTGCAGAAAGGACTGTTTTCCTGAGCCTCAGCTTCCTCCCCGATGACTGCTGAGTGACGACGGTACCACTGAGGTTACTGAAAGGATTCCTCTTTACTGAGCAGTTAAGAGGTATTTAAAGAAAAGGAATCTGCCAACTGCCTGTGATCCATGTGCCACACTGCAATGGAGACTCACTCTCCAGGGATATAGCACAAGGGACTGTGTTAATGGCAGAAAGAGCTGGGTTTTAAAGCAGAAAACATTATGTTTGTGTGAGCACATAAGGCATCTATGTTAGCGCATCATATCATAGACCAGAACCTAACAGAGAATAGCACCTTGTCCATCTGTACGGTCACTGACATTCTATTACTGATGAGAACACTGAACGACCGTGAGGAGGTCCCGTAGCATGTGGAACATTCATGTTCAACAGAACTCAGAATACTCTGAGTTCTAGAATGATCAGAATGTCCTAGAAAGACACCCTTATAAAGTTGAGATATATCATACACACTTCAGTAAACGTGTTCAAGAAGGAAAACACTCATTTGTTCTACTCATATTTGTGGAAGGCCCACCACACACCATACACTGTTCTGGATGTGGAGTATATAGACATAAGCAAGACGAAGAACCTGCTCTCGTGGAGGGGAGAGACAATAAGACAGAAATGTCATGTCCTGCGATGAGAAAACATAATGAGGAAAGCACAGAGCGCCAGGGGTGATGTGACTTTACACTGGGAGGTCAGGAAAGGCTTTCCTGAATGGGTAACCTCTGAGCAGAGACCTGGAGAAAGAGAAAGACTGACCCATGCAGTTATCCCAGGGAAGTGGCCAACTTGGAAGAAACAAGTGCAGAGGCCCTGAGGCATCTTAAGGAGACAGCAAGGAAAGGAGCCCTCTGAGGCCCACGAAGCCCCCCCTGGCAGGGGCTGGCACACAGTGTGCAGGCGGTGAGAGAGGGCGCAAGATTTCCATTACACAGAAGGGGACCAGAGGCTCAGAGGACTGCCTCACATTGGGGAGCTGAACCTAGATCCCCTGCCTCTAAGACCAGGGCTCTTTGACCCAAAGGGTTGCCATTTAGACAAGGAGATGCCACAGGTACAAGGTGTGCCATGCCTCTGGGCCACCCTCACAGGGTGAGATTCCCTGGCAATCCCCCCCATGTGACAGGAAGAGGGCGTTCACTCACCATCGCCATCCTCTAAGCCCCGGCCCCGGCCCCGGGGCTTGTGGCTCATCACTCCAGCGCCCGTGTGCACCTCAGGGGTTTCAAATGTGGCTGGAGTCACATCTGGGGTTAGAGGGAAAGGGGGATTAGAGTGAGCCTGAGGCAACAGCTCAGCAGATGCTCCCACCTCTGCCACCCAAGGGCGTCCTCTTACAGGGCGGCGGGGGCTCTCGGGACATCTTGCCCAGAGCAGAGCCAAACTTGATGGCAATCTGGCGCATCCGTTCCAGGTCTCCACTCTCCTCGGCCTCCAGGTATTCCTTCTGTGCCTGCAGCTTTTCCACGTCAGGAAAGAAGTCTCTCTGGATGACTGTCTGGAGGCCCTGTCAGGAGGGATCAGAACAAGAGTCAGAGCTGCCATTTGGGTTCCCCATCTCTCAGTCAACAGATGTACAAGCTAAGACAGCCGCTGAGCGCCGCACCCCCCAGGCCCTGCCCCCAGCCTCTGCCCCCAGCCTGTGTCCAGTCCAACGATCCCCAGAGCTTAGGGACATTTTCTAAGGCAGATAACATCCCATGCGGCCTAGCTGCAACACCTAACATTACTAAGTGCCCCTCTGACTGTCACGAAGCCCTTCGCTCTGTGCTCACTAACGGGTTATTCTCATTCTCATTAGCTGGCCTCACTTCCATACCAGCTAGACCAATGTGAGTGTGGCCACCTTCATTCCAACGGTGACCTCCTATTTCCAATACAAACCGATGACCTGGTTGACTTCAGCCAGTCACCCCACCACCAGCACCAGATCCCCAACTCTGCACCTCCAGCCAGACCTGGCTCCTCAGCTGCACACCTATGCACCGAACTGTTCACTGTTGCCACCTAGAGGCCTCCCAAACTTGACCAGTCCCAAACCAAACTGACTCCGAGCTCCGCGGAGCTCCTTCTCCTGCCTGTGTGCGGAAGGATTAAGACCTATTCAAGATGCCACAATCGCAACCTCTTTCCAGGACCCTCACTCAGCCTTTGCACTTGCTATTACTGCTCTCTAGAAAGTCCTCTTTGCTACTAGCCTTCCAAAATCTTATGTTTTAATAGGAAATCTCGTTTCCCTAACCCTCACCGCATACAAGCAGAACTGCCTCCTCTCTCCCCTGACAACAGTACTGGTGCCTCCTCCATCAAGCACAACCCCCCACCTGCATTGTGTTTATCTGGCTCGCGTACTATCCACACCCCAAGGGCAAGGACTTGGGCTGCTCCACCTCTGCGAGGGGACCAGAGTGTTACGACCTGTGAGCAGGAGGTACCCGAGAGGAGCGCCAGGCGAAGAGGGGGGCGAGGATGGACCCAAAAGTGGCCGGGATCCGCACCGAGGTCTCACCTCAATGTACTCTTCCTCGTCCAAGACCCTTTGCTTCCTCGTCGTAGTCCCGGCCTCCCCTGCCGCCCGCTTCCTCCCGGGCCGGGACCCGGTGGAGAGCAATAGGGCCCCGGGAGACGCGCTAGGCGTCTCCATCGCTGTCCCAGGACCTCTCAGACGGCACGTCACAGCGTCAGAGGGGCGGGAATGCGGTAGCTGCACAGGCGCTTCCAACAGTTGACCAATGGGGGAGCTGCGCGTATCGAAGGTCGATCCGCGCGCTGCAATGACGTCACAAGCCCTCGTCCTGATGGGAATTGTAGTCTTCTTCCCTCACTGCGCTGTTTATGTGTATCTGGGATGTGGGCACTAGACGGCGCTGTGGTGGCAGGGTTAAGGGGCGTGTCATTCACGCCAATCGTGAAAAGTTCCTGCACTAAGGCCTTGCAATGCCAATTTCTTGCAAATAATAACTGCGTATGCTTGTATATTATTAACAAAAACATACTCTTCAGAAAATTTGGTTATATACACGTTTCAAAGCTTTTATTCAGAGTTTATGTAAGAACCGAAGACAATTCTTTCTTAATAGTTATCTAACAAAAGAAAAAAAGAAAAATACGATGTTTTGATAAAGAAATGTCTAGTTAAAAATTATCAGGTCCCTAAATACCAGAGTGGGCTTCCCAGAAGAGGGTTAATTCTCACTGAAGTGGAACAGAAAATTGCCTAAGCACTTTCCAAGACTGATAATTTCTTCCCAAAAGGTGGTGTGAATTATGTCAAACAATTAAGTTTAGCCCCAGAATGATTTAGTACAATAGGCAATCATCCCTTCATTCACTGGTGATGGTTCCTGCCCTGGGCGGGGGGTGGGGGGCTGATAGTCCAATGAGGAAGAGGAACCCTGGTTAGGTCTCCCCTGAACAATCTTAGAACTGCAGTTGACAGGAGCAAGAAGTTGCTACTTGAGAAATCTTACCTGGGGACAGCCAGGGGAACTTACTGTCCCTAGGTAAGATTTTCCTGGGCAGGATGTGATTGCAGATCCAAAAGGTGAGCAGGCATTGATCAAGTGGACAGGGAAAAGCATGGGCAAAGGCCCAGCAGCAGGAGGGAGAAGACCTTTGAATATGCAGAGTACAAGGAGCAGTGAAGTGTCAGATGATGCCCGAGCGGCAGGCCAGGCTGCATGGGATGGGACCCTGTGGGTCATGGTGAGTTTTGCCTTTTCTGTAGGGGCAATGGGAAGCCCTTGAAGTGCTGAAGGCAGGTGAGAGGCAGGTTTAGACTTGCAGCCTTTCTGGAGAATGAATTAAAAAGAAAGCAGAGTGGATAGAGATGGCAAGACTGGAGGTGGCTGCAATGGTCAAGGTGAGCGATGACAGAGGTTTTCATCAGGCTGGTGCAATTGAAGCTGGGAAGTAGATTCTGGGGTTGTGTTTGGAAGTGAGATCAATTTGCTGTTGGCCTGTGTCTAGTGGATGAGGGAGAGGAGGGGGCAGGATGAGCACCAGCCCTCGGGTTCATGGACTGGATGTGCACGGGGGAAGAGCTTGCTTTCCCAGGACAAGGTGACTTAGAGGAGCTGTGGGCTTCTAGGTGAAACAGTCAAAAGAACAGTTGGACGTAGCTCAGGGAGAGGCCTGATCTGGGGGTGTGAACGTGGCAGCTGAGAATGGAAGAGATAAACCGGGATGAGAATGGAGATGAGAGTGGAGCGCCTGGGACTCAGCCTCAAGGACACCTGTATTAACAAGCCGCTGTGGAGGTGAGCCTGCTCAAGAGCAGCTAGAGAGAAAGGAGAAAAATCAAAAGGGCAACATAGCCACTGGTTCCTTGGAGGCGGGACTCTGATCCTGGCTGCCCCACACAATGACAAATATCCACCCAGCCAAGGAGGGCAGGGGTCCTGGGGCCCAGGGAGATGAGGGTGTTCCAGCCTGCAGGGGAGCTCTGCAGGCAGGCTGGGTGGAGGCCAAGGACAAGGCCCAGATTCAGGGAAAAGAGCTTTGTGACAGCCAGAAGTGTGCACCCTGGGAGATGAGGCAGCAGCTGCTGTCATGGAGGTACCCGACAGTGTTAGGGCAGCCCTGGCTGGAGACGCCATGCCTGCTGGGCTTTATCTCAGATGGCCAGCCTTGGAGAGTTCCAAGAACTGCAGCCCTGATTTCTGGGACTTTTATGGGTGAACTGCGTGTTGTGAGCTACTCTTCCCAAACTCCCTCTGGGACCCATAAGAAGGTAGAACAAAGCCCTCAAGCCAGATGAGGGGGATGTCAGATTCCTTGGGCCCATTGCTTGGTCTACTTGGGGAAATGAAGTCATATTTTCACACTATCCTTCACCCTGTGGGCAGGATGATGGAAGCAGACACCACGGCATGGACCACCCCCAGGGAGGAAGCCAAGGACCCCCAGCCATGCAGCAGCACCTGGAAGCCAGCACAGGCTCCCAGGGTGCCAGGCCATTATCAATGGGGTAGTATGCTCTGCCGAGGGGCACCCTAGTGCAGGGACTGAGTACTCACTAGGCTGTGCTCCCCAAGATAAGCTGGCTCCCCATTCCCTGGGAAGGAGAGAGGAGGGGGAGGTCCCGGCCGGGTGTAGGGATGGAGCCAGGGCAGACTTCGACAGGACTGCTTTTGTGGTGTTTTTAATTGCTTGTTTATTTTTCGTTATTGCAATAGGTTCACAGGATTGGGAGGAGGGTGTGGAGAGACCTCCCCTACTTTCTTATTCTAAAGGTCTGGACACAGAACCCAGTGCAGCCCCTTCAAACTGGCACCAACCCCAGGATACACAGACACTACCCACCAGGCCACAGGAGGGCTGCCGGCCAGGTCAGGGGACCGGGTGATGTACCGGCTGAACAGAGGAAGGAAGCCAGCAGCCCGGGAAAGAAAGGACTCTCGTCCTGCGTTGACAGAGGGTGGTTCCTGTCCTGGGGCGGGGTTAACGCCTGGGAGGAGGGGTGAGGAAGCCGACCTGCTCGGTGGTCCATCCCTATACCTCCCAGGGAATCGCCTGGTCCTCTGGCCCGCGTGCCATTGGGGAGGAGAGCGCACCTCAGTACTCGGTGTTCTCTCCTGTCACGGGTAGGTGGCACAGAGACACACACATGATCCTGCCGAGGGGCTCCTGCGTCGAGCACTAGTTCCAGGACACAGGAAGCAGTGCGGACGGGAAGAGGCAGGGGTCGTCCCTCAACTCTTTTTCGGGCAAGACTGCCAACTCTCTGAGCCGGCCCGGACACGGCCAAGCCCAGGAATAGCTCACAGGGGATCAGCAGCTCTCTTTCGGGGGCTTCTTGGCTCCGGGCAGGAGCCTCGCGGCCGCGGACGCTCGTTTCTGGTGTCGCCATTTGGCCCTGCGGTTCTTGAACCAGACCTGAGGAGAAGGAGGGAACAGCTCATGCAGGGCTCGCGTCCCGCCGGTCTCTCACATTTGGACCTGGAGTTTTGCTGTCCCGGCGAGCGTGTGGGCGAACGAGCGCAACGGCGTCCGCAGTGGGGAGCGGCTACACGGCACGGTCTCAGTCGCCGGACGGAAACCCCTTTCTCACTCGGCCCAGTCATTCATTCCCGGTCCCTTCCCACCCCCACACCCACCCCCACCTCCGCCCCAGGGCACCCAGGGAGCCCCTTCTGCCGCTCCGTGCGCTTCCGAGCTTCCCAAATTCTGGAACAGGAAGGTGCGGCCCTGTACTGTTAGGGGAAAATAAAGTTTAACACAAAAGAGGCCCGGCCGTGTAGTTCAGTTGGTTAGAGCGTCCTCCAGAGATGCACAGGTTGATTTGGTCCCAGGTCTGGGCACACAGAAGAATCAACCAATGAATAACCATAAATAAGTGGAACAACAAAATCGATGTCTGTCTCCACTCGCCCACGCTCTCTCTCTCTCTCTCTCTCTCTCTAAAAATCAGTAAATTAAAAAAAAAAAAAAGGAAAGGAAAACTAGGCTTACTTACCCTCCAGTTCCAGCGATATTTCCCCGCCCGCCCCTTCCACGAAACCGACCCCTGCCCCACTGGACCCAGGGTCTCCCTCGCCTCCTCCCGCGGCCAAGCCGCCTCCTGCGCCAGGGCCGCCCTCTCCAAAGGAGAAGGGAAGCCAGCCTGCCCGGACCCTTTGGGACCCCCCGGCAGTAGAGCAGGAGGCCCCCACCTCCACGCGCTCCTCGCGCAGGCGGATGCGGCCGGCCAGGCGCTCGCGCGTGCCCACGTCGGGGTACTGGTTCTGCACAAAGAGCGCCTCCAGCGCCTGCAGCTGTTCCTCGCTGAAGATGGTGCGATGGCGCCGCGTGCGCCGCTGTGGGCCGGGGCCGCCCGTGCCGGACAGCGCCCCGGAGCTTCCAGGAGGCACGGCCAAGGGCAAGGTCGCCGAGGGCGCCAGCCTCAACGGCCACGGCAGCCGCGCGCCTGCGGGACGAGGGTGCGGTGAGGCGCGGGGCAGGAGTCACGCACCGCACCGACCTCTCCGCGACCCCGGACACCCGGCGCCCGCGCCGCGCCCACTCACCCAGCCCGGCGGCCGGCTCCGGGGCCCTGCGGGGGCCGCAGCAGCAGCAGCAAACGCAGGGCGCGGCCTCAGGCACCCCGGGCTCCCCGGGCTCCGCAGGGCTTTGGCGGCCAGCCGGCTGCGGTGGGTGGGAGGCCCGGGCCGGGGGGCTCCGCTCGGGCAAGCTGGAGAGGATGTGCTCTATAGAGAAGGGGCAGGGCCGCCCGGGGCCCCTGCGGCTCGACGCGCCCCCCGCCGCCGCCATGCCGGCCCGGCCGGGTCGCCGCCGCCTCTGAAATATATACGTCGGAGGGGAGCGCGCCGTAATCCTCGGGCCGGGCGCCGGGTCCACGCGGGCTAATCCCGCCGCGTGGCCAGGAGCGCGCTAATCCCCGACCGCGGCGGCGGAAAATCCTGCCCCACCACGGCGTGCGGGGGCTGGCCGGCCCTCGGGGAGGGGGCCTGCAGGAAGCCCTGGCGCCCAAGTGCGTTTTCCTGTCCGGCCGGGAAGGCACGGAGGGCGCCTCCCCGGCCCGCAGGAGTGGCCGTCATCTCCCGGTTGCTGCCAAGGTAGCCGCCCTGAGACGCCCTGACCCTGGGAGCCCTTTCAGCGTGGCGGCGCCTCCTGGCTAGACCCTGGGTCCCCTCCTCCTATAGCCATGGTGGCCAGGGCTGCTCCTTGTCCCCTTCCGGGCCCTCCCGAGGCGAAAGACCAGGTCTGGAGAAACCCACCGTAACTGCGCTGTCTCAGCCCCCAAACTGCTGGGCTCCAACGAGTCGGGCCCGGCACCATCGGCAGCCCCACAATCCCACCGTTTTGGGGCCCCAAATCTCTTATCCTCTTCGGAACCGGGTCTCAGCCTCCTGGAGGGAACGGGCACAAGGGCAGGAGCTATGTCTGCTTATTACCAAAACCCGCAACCCTCCCCCCGCCCCCCACCCCACACACCCTCCCAAGAGGAAAGCGGGATGCTCTGGAGCAACTCATCCTGCTTTCCTCTGTGTTCCAGAATCCCCTCAGGAAACATTAAATACTCTTGCAGCACCCTCGTCACAGCTACGCTTCTCAAGAGCGGACTCGAGTGGGCTTCCCACCTCCTTACTTTTCAGGCCACTGCAACGTTGTCCACACACCTCCACCCACATACCCCGTCATGATGGCGACCTGAGCTTTGCCAAATTCCGAGAAGACTGTTTCATCTCAGTTAAGCACCATTGGACAGTGGGCCAGGCACTGCTGTTTAAGACCCTTTTTTTCTGGATTTCTGAAAAGATATGGTTGGCTTACAGGACAGAGCAACAGAATGCCAGTTTATACCACAATTGTCACTTCCAGTGGGACCTTCCATAGGTTTCTTCAGTACCCCGGGTTTGTTAATCTGGAGGCTCAGTGAAGGAGACACATCCTGTGAATAGCCCTGCCTCCTGGTTACAGAATGGCTGCCATGGCCCCAGACCTCCCATCTCTTCCCACATGTTCTTTTGGATGACTGTAAAAACCTTTCCTAGTTGACCTCCCTTCCAGAACCATATTCTCACCATTAGCTCAGAGAGGCCCCTGGTTGTCACTACCCATCAAAGTCACAGTTCTACTGGAATGGGGACAACAGTGTCGGTGGTCAGGAAGGCTGTGCCCTCCTCCTCCCAGGCCTGGCCGTTTCTTCATCGCTCCCCATTCTCATCCTTGGTGGCCGCCTCCAGCCTTGAAACTTGAGATATCATCTTTGTGACAGTGACTTCTGAGTGGGCACTTCCAGCCTGACCTCTCCCCCTGCTCCAGGCTAGCTCCTCCTGAAGTCTGCTCCGTGCCTCCATTTTAATCACCAATAAACATCTCCCAGCCACCATGCTCAAGACAGACTCAAGGTCCCCTTAAAATCCATTCCTTGTCTGGTATTCCCCACCTTGATGAGTGGCGCACCTGCCCACCTATCCACCTGGGTCAATACACCCTCTCCTCATCTCTCTGTTTCTGCATATACCCATCTCTTTGCCAGCCCAGCTTGGTAAGGGGCCCACTGTGCTGCTTTTCAAACATGCCACAGAATTTAACACACCTCCCCTCAAGAGGTGAAAGCTAGTTCCCTTCTCCTTGAATATGCGCTGGCTCAATGACTCGCTTCTAACTTCTAGAATGCAGTGGAAGGGACACTGATTTCTGAGACCAGGTCATGAAGCTAGGGGATATAGCTTCTCTACCTCCACATGTCTATATGTCTATTTGTCTACCTTGGAGTGCGTGCTCTTTGAACCCGGCTGCCATGCTGTGAAGAACCACCGGCAGCCACAAGGAGAGGACAGACAGAGGCGTTCAAACCAGCAACCCCAGCTGAACGGCCAGACAGCAACCAGCATGGAGCACCACGGGGGAGTGAGGAAGACTTCTGTCCCAGCCCCCATTGATTACCATGGTGCAAGAGACCAGAAATGAGACCTGCAGGAGGTAACAATGAGATGTCTATGTGGTTATGTAGCTCTAGATAACCAGACACGTTTGGTACGGGGACAGGGATGCTGCCTATACAAACCCTAAATCACATGGCATTGGCTTTGGGACTGGAAGGACCAGCTGAGATTGACAGTGTGTCATAGAGGAAAGTGAGGAAAATGCCTCTGGAACACGGAGGGAAGGAGATCCTTGTTATAGAGTGGCAAGAATTTAGCAACATTGTCACCTGCAGTAGAGCAGGAAACAGAAAATTGAAAATGTACCTAATGAGCCCTGGTTGATGTGATTCAAGTGGACTGAACACTGGCCTGCGGACCAAAAGGTTGCTGGTTCAATTCCCAGTCAAGGCACGTGCCTGGGTTACAGGCCAGCTCCCCAGTTGGGGACATGCAAGAGGCAACCAACTGATGTTTCTCTTCCTTTTGTCCCTCCTTTCCCCTCTCTCTAAAAATAAATAAATAAAACCGTAAAGAAAGAAAGAAAATGTACCTAATGAATGAGACAGAAGACCTAGCTATGGAGATGCCCCAAGTGGATGCTGAAGCAGTTGCCTGGCTTCTCCCGGCTACCTACACCAAATGGAGAGGAGAGAACCAAGAGGCAGAGAGAAATGTTCAATACAGAGAAGCTAGCCTACGGAGTGAAACACACGCCGACCGCATGAACAAGCAGTTCCGTTCCTGGGGATTCACCCTAAAGAAGTGAAAATGTCTGTTCACACAGAATGCTGCCCACGAGTGTTTACAGCAGCTTAATAAATCATCGCTCAAGCTTAGAAACAAGCCAGAAGTCCATCAGCCGGTGAGTGGAGGAAGGCACCGTGCTGAGTGCAAGAAGCCAGCCCGTCTCAAAAGGCTCCGTACTGTGTGATTCTGTTTACGTGACACTTTGGAAAAGGCATCATCAGAGTGACAAAGAACAGATGAATGGTTGGGGTGGAGGAGGACCGGGAGGGAGGCTTTTAGGTGAGGGAGCACCCAAGGAGGCAGGAGGGGAGAGAGGAAGATGCTGAGATGGAGGCTGGCTCCACTCTAGTGTGGGGTGTCTGGAGCCACCTTGAGTGAGGTTGGGGTGCACAGCCTCCCCTGCCAGGGGCCCCCATCTGGCTGATGCTCCAGAGAAGCGGTCACTTGTGAGCCACCAGCTCGTACGTTGGTGGTGGCGCGGCTCTGGGCGGGGCAGAGGGCTGCCCTGCTGTGCTCAGCCCCAGTGCTTCTCACATTAGGGTCACTGCATTCAGACTCCCCAGGATTCTGGTCGGTCAGTTTCTGGGCAGATGTAGGAGAGGAAGGCTGGTGGGGCAGGCTTCTCCCTCTGATGCCTGAGTTGGTCGTGAAGCTCTTACTGGACACTCCCCACCCCCCGCCAAGGAGTGACTGGTGCTTCTGGAGGTCTGGGGGCTCACTCGTTGGATTGATCCAGATCCTCCTCCTTGAGGACATCCAATGGGTCGGAAGATCTAACATCCCTGCTCCCAAGATCTGAGCCCAGTGCCTCTGCCAGTGTGGGGACCCCTTGGCTTGCTGCCATGAGGACCCGGGTGACCCAACGGCTGTCATATTTTCTGTTTTGTGCCCCTTTTACTGTGTTTCTGGTGAAAGTACCCCTTCCAAGACCCAGAGCCTAAAGTTGCAGGGATGCGAACATAGATTCCCAGCTGGGTCCCTGGGGACACTGGGGAGCGGAGCGCCCCACCCCACCCCAGGGCCAAACCCATGTATTACACTAACTGGAAACCGAGCACTGTGTCACACTGTTTCTCTGGGACTTCCTTGTCTCTGAAATTCTAGTCTGGCTGTCCAGGCCTCAGAACCAGCCTCGTCAACTGTTTGCTGCAGCCCCAGTTTCCCCCTCTCCTTTTCCTTAGCACTTCTCCCTCCATACAACGTGGGTGACACGGTGCTCCTTAGCACCTGCCCTTTGGGGACTTTCCCCTTACCACTGCTGTTCAGGGCCACCAGAGGTGGCAGCAAATGAGGCCATATGGGGGTGGCAGTCACTTGCTCATGCAGCTTACTTGTGTCCTCAGGATTTGCTGGGAGCTGATCCATTGTGTGACAGTACCTTAGGATTTGGTGGCTGTGACAGTGCCTAGCTCTGATGAGCCATTCTGGCCCTGTGGTCCCTTGATAGCCCAAGGTGAGGTGTTCAGTTCCTGCCAGGGGCCAGCAACAGCCAGGAGCTGGTCTGTGAACGGCATGTGGCAAGGCCGTGTTCCAGAAGCCTAGGAGCTCGCACTGCAGCTCTCCCACTAGAAACTAAGACCTCATGTGACATCTTTCTCTGCTGTAGCATTTGTCATGGGCTCTGCCAGGTCACAGGCCAGGCACAGGGCTGCTTGTGCCAAAGTCTGGGCCTGCTGCGGACTCCTTTTCTGCTTTGGGCTCTACTCCAAGCTGGCATGCTCTCTCATCCAACTAATGGCCGACGGCAAGCTGCCCCCAAAACCCAGAGAAGCCTCCATACAGTGTGCTCTGTCTCAGGGGTAGAGGTGCAGGGCTCAGTCACTTGTTCTTGAGGGGATACTCCAGCATGGAACATCTAGCACAGGACCCCTGGACTTCTGGGAACTTGGTTTATTTATCTTTTTATTATTGGGTTGTGAGAGCTCTTTATCTAGTCAAGATACAAGTCCTTGTCAGATGTATAACTGCAAATATTTTCTCCCATTCTATGGGTTGTTTTTCACTTTCTTGATAGTGCCCATTAAACACAAAATTTTTAATTTTTTAGTAAGTCAAATTAATTTTTTCTTTGATTGCTTGTACTTTTGGTATCACACCTAAGAAAACATCAGCGAGTCCAAGGTCATGAAG